TTTTTTTTAATTTTCTCCCCGGCGGGTGCCGAGGCGCGCGATTTGCCCTCGGAGCCCGCGCACCAGGCTGCCCGTTTTCACACAAATCTGTACAAGCACTGCTGCTTGTAAAGAACCAAGAACATAACCACCATCTGGCATAAAGGTATGTATCAAAAATGTCCCTTTGGACTTGCAGAGTCGACTCAGTGAAACTCAGACCAGAGTTTAATATTGCACTTGCAGCAGTGATTAGAAGTTGTTTTTATATATTAAACCCCGCTTTGTTAGAATAACATGCTGGATTCCAGTTGGAAAAGTAATTTTGGAATCTCTACAGTGATACCCTGCCACAGACTTGGGTTGCACATAAAGTTAAACTGAGCAACTTGACATAAAACCCAAGTATCCACAAACTTCCCAAACTGAAAGATCACCTTTTTCAGTGAGTATTTATATCACCACAGAAAATAAGATGAGGCAAGGTAAAAAAAAATTACAGTTGCCCCAAAAGACATCCACAGACTTGCCCATGTATGCAGTATTTCAGCTTGAACCGCCAATTTATTGTAAAACAATTTTCAGTGGCAGTGTTGTATTTGGGCCATATATTTTGGTGGACCCTATGATTACATGGTAACATACAGTACATTTTGGAAGGTATAGACTCTTACTTATTTTGTCTACCGTAAGGCTTTTTATTTAAACCCTAGGCTATCTCTGGTCTTAAAGTTAGTATAAAACACACTTAATTTTTCACTGCAAATAGATTCTTACCTGTTAATTATCAGACTGTTGCAGAAGTACAATCCCCATATTTATGAAGTAGTTACAGCAGGAAATGATTTTCATGACATGCAGACAGCGATACAAATTACAAAATAATTTTATTTCAGCACTTAAGTGTTACACACCTAATTCTGAAAATGTGTATCAGGTGGATGGTTCACATCATTGTGAACTTCCTGCACTAGTACCAGCTCTGCAGTCAAGATGGAGTTCACTGTGAGTATGCATGCTTTTTTTCCCATGTAAACTTGAAACAACAGATTAGGAAAAAGGGACTAGAGTTCTCATGACCAGATTTGTCAGCCAGACCTGCAGTTATACTTTTGGTTTTGATTTTCATTTCAGATTGTGACCACCGTCATTCTTGGACTCTTGCTGACTCCAGCCCTTGCTAGTGACGTGAGTATAGTGACGAAGTTACACGTACTTGCTTGCTGTTTCTGTATTCCCTGCTTCTTGAGTTTTCCTTGCTTCTTTCCCCATACATTGGAGGAAAGGAATCTAAAACTTCTTTCACACATGAAACTTTAAAACCAACAGATGACAGTTGTAAGACACAGAAATTATTAATTGAATCTATTAAAAGAATTCTTACAGCTACTCCAGAATGCCACAGTCTTCATTCTTTGCCATTTTGAAAATACTGTGGTCACTAAAGGCACTCTGTGGGCCAGCATTTGTGCTATTGTAGTAGTGGTTTTCTAAAGCTTTTCTAAAGAGATAACTAACTTGAAAGTCTAAAAGTGGTATTTAATTTTGTTTTCTAGTTTCAGAAAAAGGAAGTAAGCAAATCACCATTGCTGGAGGCTACCAAATTGTGACCATCAATAGGGAATGGCACATGGCAACTATTGAGGAAAAGAGCACCCGTGCGTCATGGAAAACCATTTGGAACTACAACACAGTGAGTGGCAAGGAGCATGCTTTTTCAGGAAAGGTACAGGGAGACTAGCTGCTATAAAGCTGACCAAAATACAGGAGTTGTTTTTTTATTCTTAACATTTTGAGTCCAAGTTTGGGGGAAAAACTACCAGCATTTGTTATTTTAATACAGACTTTATTCCAAGCTTAATTATTGAAGAATTCCTAGTTGTCAATAACTTTATTTTACAGGGCTTTATTGCAAGCAAAGTGCTGCCAGAGAGAATTTGCTTCATTTCCATCAGGAACATAAAGGACATGCCTAGCTTTGATGCAATTCCCAGACTGGCTGAAGAGAGCAGGGTAAGATTAAAAAGGAGTAGTTACTTGTAAAGTTGTACAGTAACGCAAAGTAAACTGATGTCAGAGGCATTACTATTTTCAAAAGCTTTTAAACCAACAGTTACTTTAAAAAGCCATTTAGATCACACCATTTATTATGAAGCTGTATCAATTTAAATTACATTTTTACATTAACATAATTTGAAACCTTTGAAAAGTTAGAATACCCTGTTTTAGATGCTTGCAGTGGAGGGTTTTCGTGTTTTTGTCGATGTTGTAGATCACTTAGATTATTTTTATAATATTTTAAGAAATTATTTAGATTGGCTGCTTTTTAATACTGTTTACTGTTTAGAAATTTTAGATTTTTGTCATGGTACTCTTCATAATGTCATATTCTCTGCAGCCTAAAAGACTAATTTTTTCAGGTAGCTCTAGTTGAGGAAGAACAAATAATCCAATAATGAAGAAAAAAGTTTAAATAAGATTTCAAGCTTTCAAAACTTTTTGAAAAGAACTAAGCACCACATTAGCATGAGTTCAGCCCACAGAATTAGCACAGACAATTTAGAAATGATCTCAGCATTCAGCATACTAACCTTTTGTAGACACTGGCTTCTCTTGAAGTCTGAAAACAGAGTCTTTATAAAAATCCTGGCTTTAAAGGGCAAGAAGGCATGGTGGGGAAGAAAAAGGGGAGAGTTATGTAAGTACAGGCTTGAGCAAAAACATTCACCTCTGGCTGTAGTTCCAGGCTTGCTTGTACTGAGGTGCATCTTTGTGCCTGCTGAAGCTTATCTCAATTCCTTGCTTACCAGCAAGAAGGAAGCATGTTCGAGTGGGCTTTCAGGAATCCTTTGATAAAATTCCACTATAATTTTGAAAGCCTATGTCAATGCCAGTCATCCCTGCTAAGTGTGTCTTTACCCTGGAGTTCATCAAGCTGATCCATAACTGTGCTTTTTCTTTCTTGAGAGGAGATTTTCACAAGTGGCAGGATTGTTTTTTCTGAACAGTAATGTGGCTTTGGAATTTGCCATGGGGATGGTTTTTCAAAAGAAAAAGGGTAGGTGCATCTTCCCCCCTCCTTTCCCCCTCCCTCCCAGGCCACATTTTCTCTGAGGAAGTTCAGGTTTGCAGGTTGCTAACAAACAGTTTATATTAGGAAACAGTCAATGGCATTCAATATTTTTGGATAGCAATATCTAAATAGTTCTGAGTCATTTCAATACAAAATTGCATTTTTCATTTCAGAACATTGCTTTGCAGATGCTGTTGTTCAGACCTCCATTTTCCTTTAGGGTGTGAGAGAACATCTCTATGTTCAACAGCCTTTCCTCCATATTAATTGTATGAGCCAGAACAGGGGTCCTGTGGCTGTAGCTGAATAATGACAGATACAAACCATCAGGAAGCCTAGGTCATAAGAGAAAATACAGGCATCCAGACACTTTGTCCAGACAACAAAGCACTCAAGTAGGAAAATAGGTTTGAAATTCATTTGAAACAAAGCATTCTGGAGCAGTTCAGGAAAAACCTGTCCTGCTGAAACACTCAAGGAGGTCATAAGCACTACTTGCGAATAGTTTTAGTGTAAATGTTGGGCCAAGTGTTGCTACTGCCCTCTTTGGTTCCAATTTTAGAAGGCTGAATGGGTAGACTTCTCCTTCCATGCTTCCCAGTTACAACCTGAGTATCTCTAGGGTGAGGGGTTAGTAAGTGACCGAGAAAATAACTTTTGTAGGAGGTTTGTGTTAAAATGCTGACTGCACTACTCTTTTTGCTGTTCAGCAGTTTCACTGAATTTCCAGTTCTCTTTAGCCTCCCTGCACCTTGACTCCCTTAGAAACATCTGCCATAGGAGCTGCCTTCAATGCTTGCTTATGGTCCTATAGTCACACAGTGGATTAAAAGACTGTACTAAATACAGTTTTGAGTAAAACACCAAGCACTGAGTCATCATTCCAGAAATAGTAATATGCATAGCACTAAGTGGATTCAGGTACTGATCTTGCTGAATGATGTTATTTGATGTTTAGAACCTGAAGGGTCAAGGACAACCTGCAAAGAAGATCCCATTTGTCCTCATCAAGAGACCTGTCCACGACCTCAAGTCTTATGGACCAGACATCTTTGCTATGTGCAGAGGACTCACAACCTACATGGCTTATGAAGTTCATGGTGAGTGTAAGCAAATTAATTTCTGTAACTAACTAGGCTTTTTTTTTTCTTGGGGAATAATGCACAAATGCTGCTGTTCGAACTAGAGATGGACACAAATCAGGAACCTCAGGAGCTGCAGAAGGGGTTCAGTATCTCTGCAGTTGAGGATTGGAACAGTGTTGAGTCACAATCTCCATAAATGATCTGATCCAAACCCTTACTACTCCTTTTAGTAAAGTTTAAGGTGGCTTCAGTTTTGGCCCAGAATTTTGCAGGCTGACCTCATCTGTAATGCCAAGGTAAAGAAAAAGGGTACTGCTAAGAACTACTATCCTGCAGTTCAGAGATTGCTGGTGAGTTTACTGAGGACTCCCACCAATTATTTCACAATACTAAGCCAAGTTGCTTCATTCCCTGTAGGTTTTTCAGAGGTAGAATGATCACGTTACCTAGGAGGTGTGACCTACACTTCACAGGATTCTCCGATGTCAAAGCCTGACAGGGCCTGTTAACTAGTACTAGCATAACCGTATAATGCACAGTAATATATACTAACAGTATAGAGTGTAATAGTGCCCCTCTGTACTGGAAAACCAAAAGAATATTAAGTAGCATGTCTTTGTGATTATTCATTTATGAGTTAAAGATCTAGTTGTGTTTGGTGACTACAAAAGAATATTTTGCTTACACATGCGAAATATTTCTATTGCAGCAATTATTAAAAACATTGCTCACTCAGAGCAATAAAAATACACTGCTGTAAATGCCAGCTATTGCTACGGAGACTAGTGTAAATCAGCTGTCTTGCTGTGGGGGCCATAATCATCTTTTGATCACTTGCAGTAGGGTTTCTTGTATTGTGGGGAAAAAAATTATTTTAAAATACATATAAAGCAACTAAGTTTTACTCAGAGGAGTCAATCCTGATGCACCAGCAAAGTACTCTGAGCCTTACTGCAAGCTGATTGTGTGCAAGCCCTGTCATGAGAAAGATGCTCTACAGATCAGGGTTCGGATGTTGCATTCTGACATAGCAGCATTTCCACCTATTTGCTGCTTACTTTGCTCTGATAATTGCATTGGTACTTGAGATGGCTCAATTTGATTAAAAATGCGAGTGCAATGTGCCAGGTATTAAGGGTTGCCAATGAATGCACAGATCACTTAACACCATCTTAGGTATTACCTCATGGTATTTTTTTTTTCTTTTCTTGTTTTTAAAGGACCCCAATATACATCCAATCAAGGATCATGTGTTAGACTTGATGTCCTGCAGCTTTTTGACCTTAACTACTGTCATGGCAATAACAAGGCCTGAGAATCTTACCTTTCTTGAACCAAGTATGGATGCCAGATAGCTGCTGCACAAAGCTAGCCCCGATGCAGTGCTTCCCTGGCATCTCCTCTTCCAAGAGTTTCCTTCTTGATGATTCAGATGCTGAAACAGATCAACTGGTGACCATATCTTTCAACTCAAAAGACCTTTGGCACAGATTAACTCTGGCTAGTTTCTCTTTATCACCTATGAACACATCCAGGAAAATACTTTGATCACGTCTCTTCTACCCCTTTTGAGCCCTTTAAATGCCCTTTTAAAAGCCTGCTCTTAACTTAGGGCACACCCATAGAGGTGGGCAAGCGTCAGAATATGTACATCACAAATAGGGCATACGGAGTTAAGACCTTCCTTTCCCTTTTCAGGGAAAGATGCCTCACATTAAAAATCTTGATTCATACAGGATGAAAGGTAGAAAGAAAGACAATGCAACAAATTTACCTTTTTTAGGGGAAGAGGAGCCTAATTTGTAAGATTTACAGAGTTGTTTTCTTCCTAAAATAGAGTTCTCCATTTTTTCCAGTGCATAGTAAGGACTGTTTAGAGGCATCGCATTGAACACTCAGGTAGATGAAGCTTTGCTTCAAAGATGCATACACAATATAAACACAATTATTGATCCACATAAGACAGTGCAAGATTCCCAGCTGTCTCCTCCCAAGTACCTGTAACTCAGCCTTGAAGATGCAAAAAAGCAGGCTTAGCTTTCCTTCCGTAATGCTGCAATGGCACTGTGAAGGGAGATGAAAGATTTATTCTGTTTATGCTGCCAAGGACGTGTAGAAAGAGTCTTTGTGCTTTCCTGATAGCTAGTCTGGATTCTCTGTATTGCCAGTCTTCCAGTAGTACAAGTTTGACATGAATCAAGCTAGGAATACAGTAACATTTCTGCTGAATTAACGAGGGCATTTGACAAAGTGTTTATGTCAGATTTGTCAGCTCTAAGCTAAAACAAACAATGCCCTATCTGCTTTGACCCTGCATGAAGCTTGCCGTTGCAAAGTTAACTTTCTTAAAAAAAGTGGGGACTGGAAGGATGCATTTATGTTGGACTGTTGTCAACTAACAACAATTTTCCCCTCCCTGATCCTGCAGTGGACACCTGAACTCAAATTTCCTGTATAGTCATGCCACTGTCATAGAGAAAAATCAAAACTTTAGAGAGTAAGAAGAAAACCCCAAGCATTTGAAAGCAGAGGAGTTTAGAGAGGAATTAAAGTGCAATTTTTTAAGCAAGGTGAGGTCCCTATTGCTCAAAATTTAATTTCAAGATTATTTCCTCTGTTCTAATAAAAATGGCATGATGCCCTGGGTCATCCAGGTGAATACAGATCTATATTTAAGAATACCAGCCATGCAACATCCCTCAGTTTCTGTTACCCCCTCACTGATCCCCAGAAGCTTTATTCTGTAGCAATTTGAAAGGATATAGAGTTCATTTTAGCACATCTCAGGCAAAAGCATCTGAGTTATCTGGATTAGCACACATCAGTCCTAGCAGAGGAGAGAGACGGGTTGTTTATTGCTACCAATCTCCTTCCTTTTGGTGTTACACAAGTTGTTTTATTTCCTTTACATGCCATCAGGTCTCATTTTGCTCAGGCTGAGGCTAAATATAAGAGGCAAGAATCAAACTTTAGGAGGGATTTTCACTGATTTTTAGTCATCATACAGTATCTTAACATAATCTTTAAGCTCTTGCCATGCCCTACTGTGCTTTTTTATTGGCATTTCTCTAACTCCCTTTCCTGTAGGGACTGGAAAGAAACTTCTTAGTAGTTGTGTGTGCATTTTAATGCCAAACATACGGGGTGAAAGAAAAGAAACAAACCAAAACAACTTCTCAGCAGCAACAAAAATACATATATGATGCTTACTGCAAAACTGGGCTACAAGTGATCTGAAGAAAGAGTTAAGACAAAGCCTCAAACAAACCTGATGCTTCAATAGAAACTTTATTGCTTGTTAGCAAGTGGAGCTGTTATATGTCTTGTTATCCCAGCCCAGAGCCTATGCCTACCAGCACACCCCCACAGCATATGTACACATTTGCTTCACACTGCTGGGTTGAGAGTTCCGAAGAACGAATGCAGCAAGAACAGCCTCACCACATATCTTCCAGCCCATACCATTCTCCAGCACTGCAGAAAATTACTGTAGTCCAGCAGGTGACTTTTAATGGCAGAGGGCCACATAGAGCAGAGTTCATGGCAGATGTCCACAAAGCCATCCCCCAGGCTCTGATATACAATGATTTGGGATTTTAAAAAGCCGCGCGGTTGCACCCTGCATATACTCTTCTGCATTTTGTCCTGTAAAATCTAAAGGATGTGCTAATAAGTGCGGTACTAAAGACAGTAGACAATACTTAGTCAAAGGAGATCTGTAGTCACAATTAGAAGAAGGGTGATTTGATGGCACATGCTGAAGAGGGAAAAATTTTCCATTTATCACTCCTGTCCAAACTCCAGTTTGGAGCACATGTCAGTATAATTATCCTCTTCCAAAGAAAGTCTTCAAGGAGGAACAGGATCAGTTAAGACACAATGCCTTGCCTCATAGATAAATGGTCACATTCTCCACATTTAGCACTTTGAAAAGGGCAAGTCAGACACTGCAAATCCAACAATGCTGTAGGATTTGTTTTTAAATTCCGTAGGATTATGTGTAGTCAGTAAATCTGAATCTTTCATTCTGTGCAGCTCTGCTCCCTCCTGCTGGGCATGTGTGCTTATCCTTTTGCCTTAAAACCAGTGGAAACCAAAGTGTAGAAGTTCCTAATATTCATTTAAACAAACCATGCTTCATCAGTGCTGTTTGCATATTCACTTGCTCAAAGTTAGATGCGTGTTTCTAGATAATCATTGTTACTTTAGACTTAATTGTTTCAGGATTCATGCACTTTAATGTCTCCAAGGGGTTAATTACTGCTGTCTAAACATCTGATCAAATTTAACAGACTCCTAAGGAGAATACTGAGTTTGCTTTCTTGTGAGTCACAGGGGAGTGAGAATCTAGACACCTGTGCTGTGGTTGGGACTTGGTCATTAGAGCATTCAGAATTTTAAGCTCAGGTTCTTAGAAAATACTTTTAATGTTTAAGAAGGGAGGTCAAACTCAGCCAATTTTCAGAAATGCTGAAAACCAGAAGCCCCTAATGATTTCTTCAACATTTGCTCCAAACTCAGGAT